CGGGATGGCGGAGAAAGCAGTTAGGTCAGCCAAGGAGGCACTCGCCAGGTTTGGCCAGGAAGACTGGCACTCTAAACTGTCTCGTTTCCTGCTCAGCCAACATACGACGCCTTGCACCGCTACTAACAAATCTCCCGCCGAACTTTTAATGGGGAGACGCCTTAGAACCACCCTGGACAGGCTACACCCCCACTACTGCCCAGACACCCCTTTAGGGTCTGACAGTCTGGTCAGAGACTTTGCCTTGCAAGACCTGGTGTACGCCAGGAACTATGCAGGGGATCCTTTGTGGGTACCAGGTCAAATCGTGTCAGTCACAGGTCCAAGATCCTACAGGGTCCTCCTGGAAGATGGACGCTTGTGGCGAAGGCACGTGGACCAACTCAGAAGGCGACGTGCGGCTGATACCAACCCAACCCGACCTGCCAGCGCCAACGTCTCCCTGCCGGTGCCAGATGGAAGCTCCCTGTGGGACCCGGTTTTCCCCGACGAACAGGAAGGTCTACTGGAGAACCCGAGTTTCCGGCCAGGATCACCGACTCAGCAGCCGAGCGTTCCAGTTTGCCAACCGGACCTCGAGACTCGCCCGGGTCAGCCCGAGCAAAGGGACTTGCCGACTTCGCAGAACACCGCGCCAGGGCAAGCCCATGCCCCGACGACCATTGAGGCACGTCCCGAGGGCCTGGACTTGTCACCAGCCAACAGTTCACCCGAACTGCGACGTTCTGGTCGCCAGCGCAGACAACCAACCTACCTACAGGACTACGCATGTTCCCAGCTGGGGGAAAGGAGTGTTATGTCCGTGGAACTGGTGGGAGTTCCCAACCAGGTCCGCTGTTTGAGCGGGAGCACCAGCCGCTCCCATTGGTTGGCTCCGTTTGACAGTCGGCTATATAAGCCGGCTGTCGAGCAGAGCCAGCCCGTTGTCGCCCGCTAGTCTGTAAGTTAGCAAGCAGACGCGACAACCCTTTATTCCCTGCAATAAAGCCTTGTTAGTTGTACGCTCTGGTCTCATGCCTCTTCCTTACCATCGCTCCACAACAGTTCTCATTTCAGAGAGTCAATAAACGAATAACTGGAAGTTGAGAACTACATGAAACCGGGCAGGATAACAATGCTCTAGTTCAGTCAAGCTCAAGGCCCGCAAGGCTGGTTCCGGTCTGCAGGGTGATTAGGTTTGGCCTGCAGGGCCACCCTGGAAACAGGGGACTAGCCCACAGTACCTCTGCCAGTGAAAACGGAGCTTCTGAAGGCCTTGGGTAGTCCTCCCGGGCTCCGTTTTCAGCAGCAACAGCCTCCTACAGCCCTCTGCCAGAGAAAATGGGGCCTGGGAGAGCCACATACGTTAGCAAAATAAATGACGAGTGATGTCAAGCTGCCCATGCCCCCCCCAGCCCTTCCCCCCACGTCAAACACAATACTGATGTGGCCCTCAAGGAAATCAAGTTTGATGCCCCCGATATAGATAGAAATAGCACTTAGACTTATATACCCCTTCGCAGTGCTTTACAGCCCTCTCTAAGCAGTTTAGAGAGTCAGCATATTGCCCCCAACAATTTGGATCCTCATGTTACCCACCTCCGAAAGATGGAAGGCTGAGTCAACCTTGAACCTGGTGGGATTTGAACTGCCAAATTGTAGGCAGCTGGCTGCAGAAGTAGCTTGCAGTACTGCACTCTAACCACTGTACCTCAGAGGCTCCTAGATCAGTGGTCACCAACCAGTGGGCCGCGGCCCACTGGTGGGCCTTGAGAAAATTTTGGTCGGCCACAGAGAAATCTCACCCCCAGAGCAACCCTACAAAGCAATTAATCCAGGCTGTGCTGAAACACAAGGCTGCGCCGCCCACTTGGCCCGCAAGAACGCCCCCCACCCACTCACTCCTTACCTGGCAAACTTGCCTGCAAAAATTGCTATTTTTCCTTTTTCCGACCATCATCTGTTCTGCTGTGCCAGGAGATTTAGATTAGCTAGGAAGCAGGAAATTGTTGGATTTCTTGCTTTCTAGCTAGTCTTTAGATCTTCGGCTGTGCTTCCCTTAGGACTGAAGGTTTGCTTGCCAGCAAATTCAGTGCAGACTCATGGCAAGAGACTGAGCTCGCCGATGGCAGATAGATGGATCACTGAATGATTCTGTGAGCAACTCAATCTGCCTGCTTTGCTTGACTTTGGGTAAAAATTGCTTTTTTTATAAAAAAAAATCAATATTTACATACATGGTGTGTTGTGAGTTAATTTTGTGAGTTTGCTTGCAAGCAAATTTTATGTGACAGATTGAGCTAGCCAATGGCAGATAGATTGATTTCTGAATGAATCTGTGATTCTGTGAGCAACTCAATCTGCCTGCCTGCTTTGCTTGATTTGGGGTAAAAGTTGCTCTTTTTTTATAAAAAATTCAATATTCATATAAATATTTATAATATTTACATACAAGCCATGCCCAGCCAGTCACATGACCACCAAGCCACACCCACAAAATAGGCCATATCCACAGAACCGAATTAGTGGTCCCTGGGATCTAAAATTATGAGTTTGGTGGTCCCTGAGGTCCGAAAAGTTGACGACCCCGTCCTAGATGATAGACATAACATTCTGAATTATCTTGGAATGTTAGAAAGGAAGCTGAAAATAATGGAATAGTCCCAAGTGAAGAGAAACACAATTTCCCTTTTTTAGGAAATCCAATGGAAACCTCTGTCAATGGGACAGAGAAAAGCAGTTTTGCAATAGTAGAGATGAAAAAGATCTAAAACTAGAAATCAGTTGAGAACAATGGGTTGGACTAGAAGACCTCCAAAGTTTTTTGCAACTCTATTATTCTATTATATATACTCTATTATATTATGAGGTAGTCCTCATCTTACGACAGTTTGTTTAGCGATCATTCAAAGTTATATCGGCTCTGAAAAATGTGACTTATAACTGTTTTTCACAGTTACCACCTTTGCAAAATCCCCATGAGAATTCAGATGCTTGGCAACTGGCTCCTATGTATGACCGTTTACAGGGTCTCAGGGTCCTGTGATCCACTTTTGTGACCTTCCGGCAAGCAGAGTCAATAGGAAAGCAAGATTTTCTTAACAGCTGGGTTACTAACTTATCAACTGCAGTGTTTTGCTTAACAGCGGTAGTACGAAAGGTCGTAAAATGGAGCAAAACTCACTTAACAAACATCTCACTCAACAACAAAAAGGTTTGGGCTCCATTGCACGTCACAAGTCAAGGACTGTACTTTATTCTGTGTGTGAGACTCTGCAAAAAAATTGAACTGACCAATGTCCCTTCTGGAACGCAGCAGCTGAATGGAGGTAATCAATCACGGGAAACAATTGTGCAATTTGATTTCTGTGCTGGCCAGATTGCATCTCCCGTATGATGCCAAGGGTTGGGCACTACAGAGATCCACAAAGGCCGGCTGGAACATGTGCAGGGAGGCACAGCTACTGCAGATTCAGAGCATTTTAAACAGTATCTTCAGAGCCCCATGATTGGGCCAAAGTATGACAGCAATGTGGAGAGAGGCTTTACAGATAATCCTCATTTTATGACCAAAAATGAGCCCAACATTTCTGTTACTTAGAGGGACAGCTGTTAAGTGACTTTTGCCCTATTGTTGCTGCAACTGTTAAGTGAGTCATTGCAGTTGTTAATAAATAAATTGTTAATAAACTGTTAAGTGAACCTGGCTTCCCCATTAATTTTTACTTGTCAGAAGGTCGCAAAAAGGGATCACATAAACCCGAGACACTGCAATGGTCATAATTATGAAACCAGCTTTGCCCGAGTTTTGAGCCCAGGACTGTGGGGATGCTTTAAAGGTCATTAGTGTGGAAAAAACGTCATAAGCCATTTTTTTTCCAGTGCCCTTGTAACTTTGAACGGTCATTAAATGAATGACTGTAAATTGAGGATGACCCGTATATCACTGCAGGGATGGCTCTGGGTGATGCTAGGAAGATCCTGGAGTGAAATCACCTATGAAGAGGGTGTGAAGGTACAGCACAATTTCTCTTGAGATGGAGAGTAGGGAGAGGAGATGATAACCAAATACCAAGCTGTTTTTTCATAGCCGTCATTTGCCACTAATTTCCTCTTGGATCACAGCGCAACCCACCTTTGTGGCATTTCCTGGTGGTCCCTCATCCAATACTAATCCGGTCGAGTGGTTTTGCATGTTAAGCCAAAACAAGGGTTCTTTTCCCTTCTACTCCTTCCCCCCAGATGTGGCCACCTGCAAAGAAACACTGCGTCCCAAAACTTTTCCTTGGTAAATGACTGCCCTCCAGAAAGCCAAGCCAAAGAGCTTATCCAACAGAGCAGAATAACACCTTGCAATCTGACAAAGCCTTTTCCCCAAATTAGGAAATGGAATTATTTCTTCCATCGCGGTGCAAACTCTGATTTATGGACTGAGAGAATGAGGATAATCATAACGCCCCAAACTGGGAAAGACGGTATAATATTTCGAGGGGGGGGGTGAGAGACGCCTTTCAACATACCAAAGAACAGGAAACCAGTTTAAGAGCCCCCCAAACGCTGCCTTTACTCCCGATCAACCAGGCGCATCCCGGGGTTCAGGATTCAGTAGCTCCCAATCACCCGCTACCCTTGGCGGCCGGGGATGATGGGCAGTGTAACTCACCCCTCCAGAGAGTGCCTGGCGGGCGGCGGGAGGAGAGAAGTTTTCAAAAGAAAAAGGAAGGTTGGTTTAGAATTGAGCCTAGCGACGTCGTTCGGCGCCGCCGAGGGGAATAGCTCTGTTCGGACTTTCTGTCCCGGGCGCTTCGTATATTCCGGGCTGCATCTTTTGCCAAGAGATGCCGGGAAGCGGGTGGGGGCGCGAGGGCCATCGGGTTTGAAAGTCTCCAGTGTTGAAAACGACACCCAGCTCCCCAAACTGGCTGCGATAGAGACGGAGAGGCGCTCTGTACGGGCAGACACGGAAGGCAGTTGCTCTGCACGACCCTCGGCCCGGCCGCCGTTTTCCGCCGCATACGCACCTGCAACCCACCGCGGATCGTCCGATTTCTCTGCAAAGACTTCTCTGCAAAAGCTCTCTCTCCCAGCTGCTTCCCGGCGAGCGCTGCCTGCCTCTTTAACTGATCAGTTCCCCGCCCATCAGTTGAAGTCCAGCTCGGAACAAACTCCCTCCCTTCCCCGGCATTGGTGGGATACAACCGCTCTGAGCATTGACCCCTTTCCTTGACCAGCCGCCCTTGGGTCCGCTACTCTGTCTCGGTCCGGATCGCAAAAAAATAAAACAGAAAAATTGGATTAATTTCTTATACTCGGGGTTTACCAGCTAGAACGGAGGCGGCCACTAGGGGGCGAAAAAGCAGTTGGTGGGGTCTTTACTAAAGGGAAATAAATTGTAGCTCCGGATTGAAATTAAGGGTCTCTTGATGCTCTCTGAACTTGATTGTTTGGTTGCAGACATTTCCTTACCCAAACAGAGTAGTATCATCAGTGCTAGTAAGGAATTGCTCTCAGTCAGTGTTTTAGTGGCTTGCCTTCAGTATCAGTGAGAGTGATCTTGGAGGGTCTTGTGTCAGAAGACATGATTTTTTTTATTTCACAACATGTGGACAGACTTTCAGATTCATTCAGGTTAACACAGTTGGAAGGGACCTTGTAGGTCATCTCGTCCAACCCCCCACCCAAGCAGGAGACCCTACACCATTTCTGACAAATGGCAGTCCAATCTCTTCTTGAAAGTCTCCAGTGATGGCGCCCCCACAACTTCCGAGGGCAACTTCTGTTCCATTGGTTGATTGTTCTCACTGTCAGAAAGTTTCTCCTTATTTCCAGGTTAAATCTCTCCTTGTCAGTTTCCATCCATTATTCCTTGTCTGGCCTACAGGCACTTTAGAAAATAGCTTGACCCCTTCCTCCCTGTGGCAGCCCCTCAGATATTGGAAGACCACTATCATGTCTCCCCTGGTCCTTCTCTTCACTAAACTAGCCATGCCCAGTTCATACTTTTGACTGGGAAATTGTGACCATCCTAGATTAAGTCAAATCCAAAAATGCTAGGAAATTCCCAGAAACCTGGCAGTCCGACACATTGTCCATCAATGGACAAAGAGACATAAACAACATCTATATATTGTTCAAAAGGAACAATAAACAAGCCCCCCCCCAAAAGGAACAAAAAGACTGAAAAAGTAATCAAGTATAGATTAACACCTAGATTAACATCAGACCAATAATTAAGAAGTAAAGAATACCCCAATCAAGGAACTGCCAAACAAAGAATACTCCCCAAGACCGCTCCCACTAACACTGACAAAGCAAGTCACTAGAATATAAACTGAAAGCAAACCCCATTCCCCACTAGCCCTGATAATGTTACTTAGTTTGGTAATGAAATGTCTGCAAGAAAACAACCAAGCTTTGAGAGCACCAAGGACCCCTCAAAGTCAGGGTCTCATTTTTGCCATCTTTACAACACCTCTGTCAGATAGGTTAGTTTGAGCCATGACATGGAGCACTTCCTGATGACGTGAGGATTTTGAATGTGGTTCTCTCCATCTTTCCTCCTTCCCTCTTCCAATTTCTCACTGCAGCAATAAGTAAGGGATAATGGACAAAAAAGAAGGACCATATTAAAACTCTTTAAAGAGGGTTTTTTTGTTGTTCCCATTGGTTTTTTTTTAATCTATATTTTTGTTCGATCGATTCTGGGATTTTGGAAGTTGCTGCCGAAAGGAAAAAAAAGATTCCTTATCATAAACCGACCAACAGCCCAGAGGTACATTTGACTAAGATTAAAGATTAAAGGTAATACTGTCATGCTGATTAAAGATTAAAGGTAATACTGTCATGCTGATTAAAGTCTTCTGGTTTTGCAGTTGATGGTAGATATAATACGACTGATTTTCTTGCACAGAAAACCAGCCTTGTAAAGGGTGTCATGTGCCAACCACTGTGGAAGTATTGTCTAGACAGGCCAAAACATGATGTTTTTCCAGGGGCCACCAATTAAGTTTCACCACTTTCTGGGCCTGTTGAATTTAACAGCAGGAATCCACAAGCTTTTTAAAGGCATGGATCACTTCCTGCCCCTTGCCATTATTAAAAACTATAGTACAATCTGGAAATTAGGGGACCTTGGTGCTCTCTGAGCTTAATTGTTTTTTTCGCAGGCCTTTCATTCCCCAAATTAAATAATATTATCATGATATTCCCAAGTTTGGATAATAAAATGCCTGCAAAAAACAACCAAGCTCAAGAGGGCACCAAGGACCTCACATTTCAACTCTGAGCTACAAATATTCTCCTCAACTTATGACTACAACTGCACCCAATATGTATGCTGTTAAGTGAGAAAATTGCTAACTCAATTTTGCCCCATTTTACGACATTTCTTGCCACATTTGTTAAGTGAATCACCCCAGTTGTTAACACACTTGTTAGGTGAATCTGGTTTCCCCATTGACTTTGCTTGTCAGAAGTTTGCAAAAGGTGATCAAATGACTCCAGGACACTGCAACCGTCATAAATGTGAGTCAGTTGTCAAGCATTTGAATATAAATCACATGACCCTGGGGATGCTGCAATGGTCATAAGGGTGAAAAATGGTCATTTTTTCAGTGCCAGTTATTCAGCAACCTGGAACAACTGTTGTAAGTTGAGGACTGCCTGTACTGGTAGTCTACCTGTACTAGTAGCCGAGATTTTTTTAATGGCCGCAAGTAAATAATAGAAAGCCAAATGGCTTTTGTGTGCACAACCTACATCATTCTCCAATAGTAAGGCTTCTGGGTCAGTCTGACCCTGCTTCTCAATTTAGATGTGGAGTAGCACTTATGGCTCCAGCATTTTATTTTTATTTATTTATTTATTTGATTTGATTTGATTTGTCAATTGGTTACAAGATAATAGATATAAGTATAAACATGAGTAAGAATACAGGAAATAGGTACGAATAAATGGGGACAATAGGACAGGGACGGGAGGCACAATGGTGCACTTGGAAACATTTGGACCTCAAAGCCTCTACAAGTAGTCCATGACTTACAATCATTTATTTAATGGCCATGGTCCTCACAGTTACGTCCAGTCCAGTATCCCCACAGCCACACGATCCCAATCCAGGTGCTTAGAAACCAGATCATATTTATAACACTTGGGATGTCCCGAAGTCACAAAATCTATGTGAAGGAAAGGTTGCAATGATGTCACTTGATGTCTCAATTAACAACTACACCATTTAATGAATTTTCTGGTCCCAATGTTGGTTGTATGTCAAGAAGTCGAGAAGCCATTCACCCAAGGAGGATGGAGGCTAAAATGGCAGAGGGGTAAAAGAAACATGTTCCTAATCCAGCCTTGTTGAATAGTGAGTGACACATAGCTACAACTGGAAAGAGGCTACATGCAATGCAGAATGAAAAGGCCTGAGGATCATTTAGTTCTGCTCTTTGGACGTGGCCTTGCGTATGATTATTTGCCCAGGATCTAATCTTGCTGAGCCAGCAGTAAATTAACCGATTGGATGACATTGATAGAAGCCAGTGGAATGTACATTATTTGGTTTTCTTTCTTTCTTTCTTTCTTTCTTTCTTTCTTTCTTTCTTTCTTTCTTTCTTTCTTTCTTTCTTTCTTTTTTCCTTCCTTCCTTCCTTCTTGCCTGCCTGCCTTTCCTTCCTTCCTTCCTTCCTTCCTTCCTTCCTTCCTTCCTTCCTTCTTTCCTTCCTTCCTTCCTTCCCTCCTTCCTTCCTTCCCTCCTGCCTCTTTCTTTCTTTCTTTCTTTCTTTCTTTCTTTCTTTCTTTCTTTCTTTCTTTCTTTCTTTCTTTCTTTCTTTCTTTCTTTCTTCTTTCTTTCTTTCTTTCTTTCTTTCTTCCTTCCTTCCTTCCTTCCTTCCTTCCTTCCTTCCTTCCTTCCTTCCTTCCTTCCTTCCTTCCTTTCTTTCTTTCCTGCCTGTTTCCTCCCTTCCCACCTTCCCCCTTCTCTCCTGCCTGACAAGCATAGTCAATGGGGAAGCTGTCTGGAAGTCACAGTTACCTGACATCACGCTTAACGTTGATGTGCTTAACAACTGCAGTGAAACTGATGTAGATCTCTCATGACATCTCCCTTTCCTCATTTAGTGATGGAGTTGTTGCTCTCAAATGCACTCAGTAAGTGAGAACTAACCTATGATACAAACCCTTGATGGGATTCTTAATTCACGCTAATCGAGAACCTGTAGTACAGATTAAGCAGTGAACAGCTTCTCTCCAGAAATTGTGGGTGTCCCATCACTGGAAGTTTTTAAAGAAAAGATTGGACAGCTATTTGTCCAGAATGGAAAAGGGTCTCTGCTTTGTGCAGGGGGATGGGCTAGAAGACCCCCCAAGGTCTCTTTCAATCCTATTATTCTATATTCTATATATCAATGTATGTAGCAACACTGTTAATTATAGCAGGCGTTGTTGTGCTGCTTACTCTGGCATCTGATTTTCCCATTTGGATTCTGCATTTAGGGATAATGGGTTTTATGCCAAGGAAAACAGATTGCAGGCAATTGGTGATAAATTGTCTGGAAACCTGTACAGATAATCCTAGACATACAACAGTTCCATTTAGTTCGTGTTCTAAGTTACAACATCATGAAAAAATGATTAATGACCGTTTTTTTGCACTTACAACTGCTGCAGCATCCCTTTAGTCATGAGATTGAAATTTGGGTGCTTGGCCACTAGTTCCTATTTATGATGGTCTGGAGGTCTGGTGATCCCCTTTTGCAACTGTCTTACAAACAAAGCCAACGGGGAAGCTAAATTCATTTAATAACTGGGTTTCTAACATAACAGCTGTGGCAAGAAAGGCTGTAAAATGGAGCAAACAAATGTTTCACTCAGCAACAGAGATTTGGAGCTCAACTGTGGTTGTTAAGTCGAGAACTACCTGTAGTTACGGGTAAACACTGAACAGGGACCACAGCGCAGGTGCATGTTTCTGAAAGCCATCTGGCTACAAAATATAGGTAGTCCTTGACTTATAACTATTCGTTTAGTGTCCGAGTTCAAAACTGCAGCAGCACTGAAAAAAATTAACTTACCCCCCATTTTCACACTTATGACCAGCAGCATCCTTAGCGTCATGTGATCAGACTTGGCAACTGGTGTATATTTATGCCAATTGTGCTGTCCTGGACTCACATCGGAGGTGTTAT